TTAATCAATCCAAGTTCCTAAAGAAGATCAAGGTAATATAAAACAGGTTTTCCTGGGGTAGACTGAATGGGTTAATTCTGAATCTGGATGCCAATAAATCACGATTCTCTTTTGTTTCTTTAGCGTTCCACAACATTATCAGGGGTGAAGACTGTGCAAAAAACAAAGCAAAATAGCAAATTGATGAGGTGTTGTTTGATTGATCTTTTTGTATGCATCTCGGTTACTAAAGTAACTCTAGATGGCTTATGCATTACAGATTATGTTGTGAGATGTACTCATAAAATATTTTTTCTAGCCATTTATTTTTATTCCTTAATAACTGACCATTTCTTTTCTTCCATTCTTTTTTCTTTTTTCCTGTTTTGTCTCATTCCCAATATATTTCTATATGTTTTTTTGCAAAACACAATTTTCTTTTAAAAAATAAATTCACGACTAATTTATGTCTGATTATAATGTATTAATGATTATGTTGTTCTTTACTATGTTTTTTGATCATTTGTCTCTGTATGTCATAATGTGTGTGCCTAATATTGTTATGTATCTTCTTATAATTTTTATGCCAATGTTGCATAGTGAACAACTGAGGCAGCAAGCTAAGAGTAATCCATAATTCTATAAATCTGGCAGGCAACTTCCCCCTGAAATTAAGGTCAGCCACATCCCTTCTAATATTTGGAAGGCCCTCAAGAGCTGGTTATGCTGCCAGATCTAGGGCTAGAGAATTGGCTACATTGCTGAGGGGATATTTTTATCTTCCCTTTGCCAGTATTAGTATTTTTGTTTTTATGTTATTTATTATTGTGGCTTTTATATTTTTACTAAATTAAATTCTACTATATTCTATTGATTAAAAAAAATGTTATGATCATGTTTTTTTAACCACTGTAAGATAATGAGATATCAGAAACTAAATTGTATGTAAAGACCCAAATCCGAAAAACATATGTACTGTATGTATATCTGGTGCCATCTGAGATTGACATCAATTGGAAATTGCCAGGTTCAGGGATGTCTACATGGTGTGGTCAGAAAAAATTTCTAAATCATTTAGCATTTTGCTTTGTTACTATTTGCTATGATGGAGCCCAATTTAACAGGAACAGCCTATTTCGTATTTGTATTTTATCTACAGGATAAAATAAGAAATAAGATTGAAAGCATTGAAAAAAGCAAAAGTATATAAAATTTGTTTTGGACCCTGTATAATAACAAAGATTATTCCAAAAATGAAGCAGTAGAACTTTCACTTTTATATGTAAATAATTAAAAATAACAGCAACATATAATTTTTCATTAAGCAAATAATTCTAGTGGCAATATTTTCCCTTCAAAATATAATGATTTAAAATCCAAGGGAAAGTTAAAAATCACCGTTTAGGAATATTGTTTTTTAATGGTTGCCTAGCAACTTTGTTACTATCTGTTGCCACTATAAATAAACAGAAGATAGCTCTATAAATTAACTGATAGAAAACTAGAACAGATAAAAATAAAATACATTTAAATGGCACAGAGTTTCTAGGAAATTGCCCTGAAAATTTCAAGCAATTGAATTTTCAACCTTCACTTTTCATCTCCTTCTTTAACTTATTGTCTGATTGAGAAAAGCCACAATTAGAAGGAGAAAAACATGTTCTATAATTGTTCTTTTATAATTCATGGTAGAAGAAACTTGCTTAGAAAAATGCTTAAATTGTTGTTATTCACATGCTAGAAAACAAGTTGTCCTTTTCCAGACTGTTTAAAGGGCCCTTATTCTACTTATTGGGTAGATCAGCGGTTCTCAACGTTTGTGTGATGGCAACCCCCGTCACACAAACGTTATGCGCATGCACGGTGCGCATGTGCGGCGCCCCCATGCGCGGTGCACATGCGCGGCGCTGCCCCCGGGAGGTGCAGCGCCGCCCCAGAGGGGGGAAAATGGCGGATCGCTGCCTTTGGCGACCCCCGAAAAGTGGTCGATCAACCCCAAATGGGGTCGCGACCCATAGGTTGAGAACCGCTGGGGTAGATGAACTATTTCATGTTTTAATTAAAGCTTATATTTTTTTACATTTACAGTTGTGCTTTATCTTTTGTTAGACAAAGTTTTCATTTATTTAATTCTTTGCATTCTGCATTTAAAATAAAAACAAAGCAGCTTTTCTAAATATAAAATATAAGAGCAAATCACAATCAGAGTTCAGCTCATTGCATGATACAGTCTTTTAGGAGTTCTTGGCTCTTCATAGGCTTCTATGGAAAGGTGCAGCACATAGAAAAGCCAACAGGTGCTTCTGTCTCGCCTTCGTGAGAGAGACAGAATTTAACAAAATATGGAAAGTACTCAGATTATGCAAGGATTATTAGGCTATCACGCAGACATATAGATCTGGATTTGTATTCATGGACATTGGAATAAAAAGGTATTAGCATGAAGGTTATAAGTATACGCAATCTATTGAACACAAAGGATTCTTACAGATTTTTGCATTGAAGGCAAAAAGTTGCAGCCTTAAGTCTAGTACATTGTGAATTTACAGAAAATTCATCTCCCACCAGCAATTTACCTTGTAATCCATAGGCATGCTGAGAACTATAAAACTTGGTTAGGGCCACAATCAGAGTGTACGACATTCTAAACTTTTAATCAATGCAAACACAATGAATTTCTATATCATAACCCCTATATACAAATTAGTTATTAAAGAGCAGATTTATATAGCCTTAAGAAATGCTATGACTTGAAATATTGGGAATCAGAATCTTGGATATGAAATGCAATGCCATGTTTATAAGCAACTCTTTATAACCATGTTTGATTTAGATGCTCCAGCAATTAAAATATTATATATTTATGTAGGAGATCTAAACCTGTCCTCTAATCCTTTTAACTGTTTTAGCCTGGGCTAGACCTTACTAGGAGGTAACTAGCACCAACTTCTGTGAATATTTGTGACTTACCTTTAGCTAGTAAAACTGTTATAGGCAGAGGTAACTGTTTTAGCTATAATGGTATTTATTAAACGTTTAAGGTTTAAATATTTTCCATACTCCTTGATAGATTGTGGACTTTGGATTTATTTATTCAAGGAATTATTTGCAGGATACAAGGGCAGAAAAGATGTGTGTCTAAACAATGAGTATTTATGAGAGGCACCAAGGCCATCTTTTTCTTCTCTGCTATTACTATATAAAATCCTAGCTGCTTCAGTTCTTTACTTTCCACTCAGATATTTCCTAGTTAGCATCATGATGGAAGCCAAGTTTTAAGGCAGTTTGATTTACAGCTGTCTTGAACTGGAAAAAGAGAAGTGGAAAGGCTGGTCTGGATTGGGATATGTTTGCTGGAAATGACCCCTCCATCACTATCCTCAGATCATTTGGCAGTCAAACTCAGAGCCTTTTTGGAATCTTTGGCATCTGACTGGCAGGATACTAATTGCCAGAATCCCTTGGAATACATGAAGAGTCTTATGAAGCATATTTCCCAGAATTTCTAATGCCCAGAAATCTGGTGGGTCAGCCACAGCTTGGTTGCTAGAAACAACCGATAAATATAGTACTATGGATTTGTCTTTCAGAAATGTTTGGCTACTTTTAGACCAAGGGTGGGTTGTACCATAAAAACCTAGTAGCAGTGTTTCTTCAGTGCAACTACTGATGTAATATAGAGGAGGAAGAGGAGTGTGGAAGAAACTGCATTGGTCCTATGGACACATTATTTTCTGATTAAGGGTTTTTTAATCAAAGTAAGTATTGAGCTACCAAGATGATCAAGAGAGCCTAGGCTAGTCCACTGTTTGGAAATGGGGAAAAAAATTAACCAATGGAACAACCTGCTTCCAGAAGTGGTGAATGCTCCAACACTGAAAATTTTTAAGAAAAGACTGGACAGCCATTTGTCCAAAACGGTGTAGAGTTTCCTGCCTGAGCAGGGGGTTGGACTTGATGACCTCCAAGGTCCCTTCCAACATCATCATCATCATCATCATCATCATCATCATCATTATTATTATTATTATTATTATTATTATTATATTTCCTCTAACTGGAACATTCTGTTTCTTTCTCTTCCTCTAATTTGCCTCCTAGAAAAATCTCTCTGGTTTCTTAATTTTGCAAATGACTTACATGCCCGTGTATAAAAAAGAGCTTTATTAACTCAAACCATTTTAATAATTTTGGCAAGTTGGTAAAAGTTGAAATTTGTTGGGAGGGTTAGCTGATGTGTCTTAATAATTACTTTTTTGTGTGACTGAGAAATACCTGGAATAGAAATCTGAATTATAACACTAACCTTAGAAAAGAAGTAGCAAAAAGGAGCACAGCTAATTCAGATTCCTGTGAAGGAAACGAAGGGCATTGCAATTTGAATTTGACACAGATGGAGACAGGGCTATCAATCGCAAGGCATTGTACCATCTTTTCATTCATAATGGATTTTTTGGTGATAAGAAAACAGCCTGAAGAAGTGACAGAAAAAACACAAGAAGGTTATAGATGGAAAGCTAGGGCTTAACTTGGCTTCTCAGTAAAATTCTGTCAGTGAAGTGATTGCACAGTAAAAACACTCACAGAAAGCTTGGTCTGGGGCAGTATAAGTATCTCTCAGTATCTTGTTATGAACCAGCAGTTTTTGGCTGTTGGAATGCTGATAAGCTCTGCTTTGTTTATACTGAACCAGTATATTGGTAGAAAGTGCGAATATTATAAAATGCCAGTGATCTCCTTCTAGTGAAGACGGAATATGAATGAGTGCTCCACATGTTACATTCTACGTCTTGGAATTAATAAGCCAACAAACTAAGTCATGATAGAAGGCATGTGACTTTCAGGAAAAGAAAGAAAGTGATGTGTTATCTAAAGGATTCCTGCTTTATTTTACTGAAAAGCTTTTAAAGTGTGATAGATAAGAATAGAATGATAAGAACAATTCTACTGGTGCTGCTTTGGCTTGTCAATTAATCTGATTCTTTACTTTTCTTCCTATCTTTCTTTTTCTTCTCCTTTAGACCGTCTACAAAGCCTGGCTCTGTTCCCAGTATTTTGAAGTCACACAGTCTCATTGCAACAACACAATTCCTTGCAAGCAATACTGTTTGGAGGTTCAGACAAGGTGTCCATTTATATTACCAGACAATGATGATGTCATCTATGGAGGATTATCGAGTTTCATCTGTACAGGTATGGCAGATTTCAGCAGCTCTTTCTAACACCCCTTTCTGTTTCTGAGGGCTACATATAATTAAGAATTCCTTTCCACTTTCCACTCAAGACCTCCTCCTCCATTATATATCCCACAAAAATGATGTTGTTGCTCTGTAATCTTCAAGAGCTTTTACTTTTGCCTGCTCTCTTTCCCACTTTCCCTCCTCCTCCTCATCTCTATTTAGGCATGACTCATCTGCCTTAGATACCAATTCACTTTATTTGTTCTCTTTTTATAACATTTCCGGAAGATAATTCCACTTGCATGTTCTTAAGCACTTCCTATTTATGTTACCTGTACAGAATCCCTCCACTTGGACAATATTTTTAAGAGCTTGTTAAAATGAAATTTCCTGTGCTGTTGATGGAGGCTAAGATGTAAAACTCAGTGTGCAGAATGAAAAAAAGTATGATTCACTTTCAAAAGAGGTATCTTTGGAATATCACCATGCCCCATTGGTTGCATCTTCTGTGCAACCAATGCTAGAATCATCTCTGCTTGTAACTGTAGCTTAAAAATACCAGCAGTTCTACAGAAAATACTTCCTGCACGAATCTGAGCTTTGCTGCATTTCTTCCATCCTAAACTGCATACTTTGTACTGGTCCAAGTACATTCACAGAGCTTGCAAATGTGCAAACAAACTGAAATATTGAAAGAACAAAGGGCTGTACTCAAGTATGGAGCCTGTTGGTGTAGTGGTTAAGGCAGCGGTTGTCAACCTGTGGGTCGCGGCCCCTTTTGGGGTCGAACAACCGTTTCACAGGGGTCGCCTAAGACTATCGGAAAACACATATTTCTGATGGTCTTAGGAACTGAGACATCGCTCTGCATCTGTCTCTACACGGCCTCCTCCACCACTTGCAGAGAGAGGGGGGGGCACTTTCGCTTTCCTTCTCTCTCTCTCAGGCGGACTTACCTCCTGCAGGGCACCTGATTGGCCCTGTGCCCGGGTGCCCCACCCCCTGGGAGAAGCACAGCCAGGGCCTCGTGGCTTGGAGCCGCCCGGGGAAGCCCCAGGATCCCTGCTGGGAGTGGCCCACTGGAGGTTGTGGCAGATCAATAAATAAAGGGGTGGGGGAGCCAAACGGTCCAAGGCATTTGCACCCTGAATGTGTGGATGGTTCTTTCATGATTTGCCACCACCACCCCCTCTCTTCCCGCCCTGCTTGGGCAATGTGCTGCTGCTGCTGCTACTGCTGGCTGAGCTGGGCTGAGCTGCGGTGCTGAGCCGATTCCCACCCCTCCTGGTTGCCCAGTCGTGCTCCACCCCCGGCCACCCTCCATGCCACGCCAGAGCCTCCCCCCGCCGCCCAGCCTGCCTCCCTTGCCATTGGAGGGCATCTGTGTGTGTCTCCAGACCTTACTGGACTACCATCCCCAGCAGCCCTAAAAAACACTGTGGAAGAATGGGGAATGCTGGGAGTTGCAGTTCATCACCATCTGGAAAAACTCTCCAAAGATCGATCAATCCTTCCTTCCTTCCATCCATCCATCTCCTTCCCTTCCCCTTCAATCTCTCCTTGCTTCCTTCCTTCCTTTCCCCCTCAATCTCCTTCCTTCTCCATCTCCTTCCTTTCCCCTTCAATCTTCCTTCCTTCCTTCCTTCCTTCCTTCCATCCATCTCCATCCCTTCCCCTTCAATCTCTCTCTCTCCTTCCTTCCTTCCTTCCTTCCTTCCTTCCTTCCTTCCTTCCTTCCTTCCTTCCTTCCTTCTCCTTTCCTTCCCCTTCAATCTCTCCTTCCTTCCTTTCCCCCTCAATCTCCTTCCTCCTCCATCTCCTTCCTTTCCCCTTCAATCTTCCTTCCTTCCTTCCTTTCCCCTTCAATCTTCCTTCCTTCCATCTCCATCCCTTTCCCTTCAATCTCTCTCTCCTTCCTTCCTTCCCCCTTCAATCTTCCTTCCTTCCATCTCCATCCCTTTCCCTTCAATCTCTCTCTCTCCTTCCTTCCTTCTTTCCTTCCTTCCTTTCCCTTTCAATCTTCCTTCCTTCCTTCCATCTCCATCCCTTTCCCTTCAATCTCCTTCCTTCCTTCCTTCCATCCATCCATCTCCACCCCTTCCCCTTCAATCTCTCCTTCCTGACCCTTCAATCTCCTTCCTTCTCCATCTCCTTCCTTTCCCCTTCAATCTTCCTTTCTTCCTTCCATCTCCATCCCTTCCCCTTCAATCTCTTTCTCCTTCCTTCCTTCCTTTCCCCTTCAATCTCCTTCCTTCTCCATCTCCTTCCTTTCCCCTTCAATCTTCCTTCCTTCCTTTCCCCTTCAATCTCCTTCCTTTCCCCTGCAATCTTCCTTCCTTCCTTCCCTCCCTCCCAACATTTTTGAGCAAGGAAGAGTAAGCTTCTCCAGCGAGCATTGCTATATTGTTTTTGTGATTAATCACTATGCTTTAATTATGTTCACTTCGTAACAATGAAAATACACCCTGCATATCAGATATTTACATTAATATTCATAACAGTAGCAAAATTATAGTTATGAAGTAGCAACGAAAATAATTTTATGGTTGGGGGTCACCACAACATGAGAAACTGTATTAAGGGGTCGCGGCATTAGAAAGGCTGAGAACCACTGGGTTAAGGCATCAAGCTAGAAACCGGGATACTGAGTTCTAGTCTCACATTAGGCACAAAGTCAGCTGGGTGATTTTGGGCCAGTCCTTCTCTCTCAGCCTAGGAAGAAGACAATGGAAAATCACTTCTGAAAAATCTTGGCAGAAAGCTGCAGGGGCTAGCTCAAATAGTCACCAAGAGATAACACTGACTTGAACGTGCACACATCCATGTATGTGCACGTACACACACACACACACACACACACACACACACACACACACATATGGACAACAGAAATTCTAGGTGTTTTTAATATTGCTGGGAGAATAATTAATTATTGAAAATGAAGCATCCATTCTCATTCTTGCTTTTGACATGACTATTTAATTTTGATATATGCCTACAATATCATGACAAATTAAATATGAATAAGCAGTGTGAATAAATTGTTCACTTTTAAAGATATACAACTGGGATTTTTTTGAGTAGGGAATTTTATATGTTAATACTGCGTTTCTGGGTCTTCATGAAAGTCTTTTAGAATTAACAGGAATATTAAACATTTTGTGGCCCGGGTGTCATGCTTATTTATTTTGGAGTGCCTGGGGAAGCAAGAGGATTACAGCTAGTAATGTTAGTCAATCCAAGCATTTAACCTTCACTAAACAAAAGGGTCTAAAATTTTCACCCCAGATACTATGGTATCCAGTGGTGGGATTCAAATCTGTGAACAACCAGTTCTCTGTGTGGATGCTGCTTCCAGAAGTCCATTCTGGACCTGGACAACAAAAAAATAGTTACCGGTTCTGCCAAAGTGGTGCGAACCAGCTGAATCCCACCACTGATGGTATCTTGTAGGAGAGTCTCATATAAATGAAATCTTGGACCACTGGCCCAACCACAGGGGACAAGAGGATCAAAGCTAACTCCTGTGTACTGATTTTCAGTGACACAATTTCCACAACTTACAATTTGTATCGTATATCCTGACACAATTACATAATTTCAGAATTGTTGTGATTATATCATACATATTATACAAACATGTACTATTTTGGCACGATCGTCGTTTGCTGATTGGGCAACTGAACAGATAAAGTTAAGAGAAAGACAGAAAGACTGCACTTTGAGTAGCAAGGATAAATTAACCTCTTTTAATCTAATGCCACCTGCAAATTCCATGATCCCCAATACTTGAATGGCTTAGGAGATGGGAATATCATCTAATGCATCTAAAAATATTCTTTGGGAAATGCTATCCTAGTCAATCAATAAATTTCTGAGTTAACATATATTGTGAAATAATGCAAAGTCAAATAAAGGATAGAAATCCATAAATAAAAAAAGGCCTCAGTGTTAGGAATTTGCTGTCTGTGAAACCTCAAATATGTTCTTTTTGAAGTAATTCATAATCCCAACTCACAAATCATATAGCTTGATTGAAGGCAAACTTCACTATCAGATAGTGAAGGAACACTATTTATCAGGAACACTATTTTTCTCGATATTGTTCACACTAGTGTCTTTGAACAGTACAGCAGCTTCTCTATTGATAATATCAGAGGGTAGAATTAAACATAACTCAAAACACTGTCCAGATTATACTACTACTTTATTGTTCCAGATACCATTGTCTCCAATAGTTCCAATTTGTGAAAGACTCTAAAACACGAACTTGAGCTTTGAATGATTAGTGATCTATTACCTTTTCTGAATTTCTACAGGATTAGAACAACAAAATATCTCGAAGAAGCCTCAGATTGTTGCAATGCTCTGCTTCGTAGAGAGAAAACTCTTCTCCTTTTTAATTGGAGAAGGCAAAATCCTAAAGAGGAGAAAATGCACTTGTAGTTTCAAAATGCAATATTTTTTCCTATTACTATTTATTTCTCATACAACACATCCCTGATAAGATGGTTGTGAATGCCAGGAATTTGGGCATTAAAACCCTGCTTTAATTATTTAAAAATATTTTGTTTTGATGTTAGGCCTTAAACACATAGACAAAATGTTTGCAATACAGGGTTTAATGTATGTGGACAAAAAGTAACCTACTGTTTTGCATTATTGAAATAAATAATTATTGAAATAAACAATACTGAAAGTTATTTAGGTAGAATGGTCTTTTGTCAGGGAGACAGCTTAATTAAAAGAGCAAGGCAATTCTCCATATGAAAAGTCATTCGCCTTCAGAGATTATTCAAAAGTTCTCAATAACTACTGGGGTTACTGCTCTGTAGATTGTAGGATTGTACCTGAGATGAAATAGTATTGCACCATTGTTAAAATTTAATGAAAAACATAACGTTGATGAGTTTCTGAACCTATTGAGGGTGTTTAGCTATAGTAGCCAAGATAATAAAAGCTGGGAAAATGCTTTATGCTATCCAGATGACTCACTAATTTCTGTGTATTTTGTAAAAATGAAAACTGAATGAATGAATGAGTCTTCTCAAGAGTCTTCTCCTTAGCAGCATCTTCCCAGCAGAAACTCTTCTGCCAAAGAGGAAATATTGTATAGTTTTTCAGGTCTTACAAAGATTGAACTGCATCAGTTCTGGTTGGCTGCCAGTCTAGTCTGACCACTAACTAAGATGTGGTAATCTTACTGTTTCTCTGCATTGTTAATCAATCCATCATTGAGCTGGTGAAAGTGATCACAACGAGGAAGGTGACCTGGAGACTCTTGATCCTATTTACTTGGAGCCTCGAGTCTAGAGAATCTAAAAAAAAAAAGAAGAAGAAGAGGAAGGGACATCAAGCAAAGGAGTATCAAGCGACAGCCTCTATCCTGAGATGTGTTTGTAGAATCTTGACTTAAAGAGACCCAAATACTATGTTTCACATTAAAGCTGCGTCCTGAATTTAGACAGCAAACAACAAAACATAGGTGTCACATGTTCCTTAGAGCCAATCAGCATTATTCTGCTTGTAAAAAGCGTACAAAACGTTGTGGAGATTTCAATTTTATACTTTAAATTCTGGGAACTATGCATGGGGTATTGCGGAAGTATTTTGTAGTTTAAAACAGATGACTGGGGGCATCTAGTGGAGAATAGCAAACATTTCATGCATAACAAATTACATCTGAGTTCTGAATGAGAAGCATTCAAGTCAATGCTATAATTTCTAAGTAATCAGGATTGAGCCTGTTACAAAAGAACCTCTAATATGAATCTGTGACTCGCCAAACAATAAGATAACTACAGAGTGAAGGCTTTTAAAATTGTTTTGTAATAGTATGGTGAGGTAAGAAAGGAAATTGTAAAAAATCACAGAATTGGGGAGCATGATTGAGGAAAATTTTTTTATCTGATTTCATTTCATTTATCTGATTTCACTAGTTGTTCCTAGTACACATAATTAAGTTTCATTAGATATTTATGCAATGATGGGAATCAAATATATGAACAACCGGTTCTCTGTGTAGATGCTGCTTCCAGAAGTCCGTTCTGGGCCTGGGCAACAAAAAATTAGCTACCGGTTCTGCTGAAGAGGTGCGAACTGGCTGAATCCCACTACTGTATTTATGGTTTGGGGGAATATTTATGAATTTCTTCTTTTCATTAAGTCTGAGGTGACAAGCCAGTTGGTCAATTCCTGTTGCAACCAAGGGTTCAATCCTTAGTTGATCTGAAAATATGGATCTGCACTTGTGAGAAAATGCTAGGAAGAAAATAATAATTTTTGATTGGCAATTTGGGGAGTTTCAGTCCAGGATCTCTGAAAGATGCCAGGCTGGGAATATGTGAATTATTTTATTACAAGGGCTATTATAGAGAGATATGGCTGCAAGAGCTGGAGGACACTGCATTAGTTAAGGGAGGCAAATTCTGTGAAGAGTGATTGATGAACTAATTTTGTCTCATGATAATGAGATATTTGGAAGTGAAGCTATAGTTGGTTTTTCATGATATTTCAGGGACATTTTAGATTATGCTGTTGATTTATCTGAAAACTTTCTATAATAGTTTGAAAATTGAGACATATATACTGTAAGTCCCAAATTTATGAAAAAAAAAAAACCCTGTCAAAAAATGCTTAGTACAGAACAAAATTCTCTGGTAAATTTGTTCAGAGCAGCTTTTGTTAAATATTTGATGAGTGGTTGTTATTAGTACTACCATTAATTAGTCCTATTATATACTGCTTTTCCATTTAGGTTTTTTGGAATGACTTCTGACACAACAGTAGCAATGTAATCATAGCCATAGATATTAAATATTTAAAGTGAGATTATATTTGATACTGGGCAGGTTATATGGGTCTATTCCCTGCCTTCCTGCATCTGTTTTACCATGATGCAAAACCAGAAATCCCTTTGTTTTCTTTTAAAAAGACTTTAATATGCTGCTCTTTTTCTCTCCTGCAGGGCTCTATGACAATTACCCAACCAATGCAGAACCAGAATGCTGTGATGTCAGATGGGGACTCTTATCCGATAACCAATCCAAAGGGACTATAAAAACAAGTGACTCAATGATGTGTCACCGGACATCACTCACAGTTTCATCAGCATCAAGACTGTGTAACAGCAGACTCAAACTGTGTGTTCTTGTATTAATTCTCTTACATACAGTACTCACTGTCTCAGCAGCACAGAATTCAACAGAACTGAGCTTTGGAGGCATAACAAATTTTGAAGATAATTCCACCAATGAGGAATAAGAGACCTGATCCATCTCCTCCTACAGGCACATAGCAGGCCCACCTGTACGACAGTCAGACCCAAAAGACTGGACCTTTTTACCCTCTGTTCACTCCTCCAAAAGCCTTCTGGGTAAAACTCAACTGACGGGCCACTATCCAAACAAGGACACGTCCTATACAGCTTTTTATTGACTAAAAGGCTGTCTGGTGACTTAAATTTCTCACACCATTTTATACACTGTGTTTTAATGTTTGGGGTTTCTTTTTTTGGTTTGTTTTGCACTTGTTAATACAGGATTTTATTTTTCAGACAGTTTCTCAGAGCTAAACTAAGTCTTATCTATTTCTAGTCATTGTGTGTGTTCATCAAATAGTTTGGTCTTTTATGTCTTGTCAGTTTCTATTAGAAGAAAGAACTGCTGTGGTTCCATGGCAAAAGATTTTTTTAAAAACAAAACAGTGAAAACCAGCCCTCCCCTCCCAGCCCTCCTCTCCACAAAACCAGTTCTCTTTTTCCCATTATATTTTCCCCTGCTTCAATGCCCCAGAGCAAACCATTTCTGCTTGCTTTCCTTTGGTGTAATCACAATGAATGGGTGCGCGGTCCAACACACTCTGCCACTGTTATGCAAGTCATCTGACTGGAGAAACCCAAAGTAAGGGAGGGGCGAGGAGGAGAGCACAATTAACAGGTACTCTCCTTGAAAGTGGGATCTGACAGTGGAACCTTAATATAAAGAAATCTATAACAAACTGTTGCTCCAAGGCCCATTTTCAAAAAGTCTAGTCCTTTCTCATTGGTCAGTTGAACAGGAGTGGCCTGATAGAGAACACCGTGTGTGAAACCAAGCCAAGAGCTCAGCGAAGTGATGAGAAGGGAGACCAACACACTGGTGGTAAAAGTTTGGCATTCATTGTGAATTACGGTTTTTATTCCTCTGTTATCACCTCTGTACCACATGATTATACCATCTATAAAAGCCAAGAGGTTTACGGGAAAAAAGAGAAAATTTTATTTCTACCTGTTTGATTCTGAGGATATCTAGAGATATCACAAAGGCGGTGAAGAACATAGATTTCCTATCAAGTATAGGTAATATGGTCATTGCATGTGAGTGTACATACTCTGAACATAAATACTGGGGTACATCTCTTCTGGGATCACTTGCCCAACCAAGCAGATGACCATTTTAAAATGAATGCACCCTTGTGTGTTATGCTCATATGGTTCCTACAGCCTGCGAAATAGTTTCTGCTCCTCATGGCTACAATTAAATCCTTGGAAATAAGGTAGGGTGGGGAGGAGATCAAATGGAGTTAGTGAAGCTGGAAAAATACATTTTTTTCTTTTTTTAAGGATATTTTCATGAGTGTGCAATAACATTTAGATGCTGGGCTACAGTATGAGTAGTCAAGTATTGTGAGGGATTAATGGGAGAGGATAATCCAATTGCCTTTTTCATTGCTCTTTTTATAGGACCATATCACCTGCTGAGTGGATGGGATCTTGCTTTTTAAAATGGCTTTTTAGAGTTTACACTAGAATAAATGGAAGGAAAAGTTAATAAGGGCTGTTTTTTTAAAAACAAAACAAAAAACAAACTTTTCATTCCTTCCTGTTCTCTAACTACACTTGGAAAGTGCACTTTAGAGCTGTTTGCTGTGTAGCTGAGAGATGAAGGAAAAAAGATAGAAAATATTCTCTTACTTCTTGCATAAAAACAATATTTCCTTGCCCATTTCAAGAAATGTTTCTGTTCCTCACTGCATTGTTGATATGCATTTTTATTCATGTTTTATGATTTGTGAAGTGCTGAAAAAAAGACAGCCTAGACAAACAAACAACCCTACTGCTTTAGCAGATTAAACTAATGCATTTGTTAAATTGTATAAGCTGAACTATTTTGCAAGACTTCTTGTTTTGATAGTGTTTTGCTATGACTGAGAATGAGGATCTTAAAATGACCTGTGCAAATACAAAACAAAACAAAACAGCACGTAAACGCAGAATTCTTCAGCTTCAGTTTCTTTCCTTACGTTTTCCCTCCTTTCCACTGCGTGTGTACACTCACAGATATCTACATGGCATAAAGCACCATGCATTTTAGGGTGGGTTTTCCCCACTGGGATGAGTACATTTTCTGATACATATTGTGAGAATGCGCTGAAAATAGGTATGGTGTGAAAATGGAAAGCTTTATTTAATGATGGAATGTAAATTTCAAAGAAAATCTGATCTCTTCTTGCAAAATTCACGCAACGAAATCTGCACAGAGCCACAGCGCTGGGGGGTTTAAGCGAGAGTCATGTGAGAAAACTCTTAGGAGAGCTCTTGTTCAACTGACCACTTTTTTTCCCTGATCTTAACATGTAAAATGGTCAATAAACAGTTTGTTATATACCTTGATCTACCTCTGCTGTACAAAGGCCATTCAGCAACATCCATTTCTGTGACATTCATGGCATCATTTTGTTTTTCCCATGAATTAAACATTCATATTTTTTTCTTCCATTTCCCCCCTACTATCTCAACACAGTAGTGTGTTCTGTTCACATCCCCCAGTTACAATAACATTAAAAAGAGATGCTAATTCTTCTCAGTGGGATCCTGTTTTGCCTCATAATGATCTACTGCAGGGAATACCAGTAAAAAATGTATTCTCTTTGCCCCCAATCCTTTTCAACTGAATTTTTAGGGGGGGAGAAATCAGCTCATTTGATTTTTGGCTTCAGGCAGGGATGCAAGAGAAAAAGAACTCATGAAAAAAAAAAACAGTGGCAACATTATTGATTTGCTTTAAAAAAAACAACACCAAACTTTGAGTAAAATGAAGTAGGAAGCACAAACCATTTTACTTAAAAATATAATAAAATGTTTCCTTCCTTTCAAAATAGCTGCCTGCAGTTACATTTGTCTCTGTCACTATCCCACACCCAATCTAATTCTTTTACTGATTTTTCTTTTTTTTCCAAAAGGAATACAGTATAGTGTTCTTGGGAGACAGCTGCTGCGATGTATGTTATTGTTTAGTCTGGGTATGTTTACTCCAGCAGTGTGGTCTGTATTCTTTCTTAGCAGCAGCTAAGAAACCATGCCTAGAACAAAAGGACTTTTTTAAATGAAGTTCAGAGAAACATAATCATGTATGATGCAAAAGCTCATCCCATCCATTTCTCATCCGTAACCGTTTTCTTAGCACAAACCTGAGCATGCTTGATATTGTGCATCTATTACTTTTGCCCAAATAAATTTGCATCTTGCCACTGTAACTGCCATCTTGTTCCATTTCTCCTTGTACTGTATGAGTTGACATACATGATGAAGAATTGGCTTCTAACAGACCATAGTTCAATATTCTAGCCTAGTACAATGAAGAAAGAGAATGACATCTATTTAAAATTGTGTGCAAAACACTTCCCCTCTTTCACATGTTTCATGATTTGGTTTTCTGAAATAAGGAAAAATCCAGAGTTATTGCAATATATTAATACTGCAAAGCCAAAATGTCATAGATCATAATCAGAGTTACTTATTGTTTCTTCCTTACTGCACTTGAGAATTCACTATACTGACTTTCTGTTCATTAAAGAGAGAGAATATTCTTTTGGGTGTGGTGAGGTAAATAGAGCTATTGAAAGCTATCCCTCAATGCAGAATTACTCATTTTGTGGAAAAGTGTATTAAAATTTGGGTACAGCTGAAGATCAAGTTCCAGTGAGTGGGTGAAAGATTGAATAAGGATTGAAATATTTCAAAGAATTATTTTGTGTAATTCTTTGAAATACAGAAACATTTAAAAGGTAACAGAAATCATATATGAGATATAGCAAGTTTAATTGGACTAAAATTGTGTGGTCTAGCCTGAAATAGCTTTATTAGAACAACAGAGAATAAAAACATTTCTTTATTTTCCTCTGTTTTCTAAGGAAGATCTCTATTTCTTACTAAACCTAGTGAAAAGAGCTGAAAAGGTAGAATTTCAAAGTAAAGTCTCTTTAACATTTTGCAAAATTAATTTAACAGAATTTAACTAAATAACAGAGTTGGAAGGGATGCTGGAGGTCTTTTAGTCTCCTAATCACATGAATAGATAAAATAAACACCTTGATCACAGATGATAAGACAAGAATAAATATTAAATAAACAAGAGAAGGTTGTATGCCAGTTAGTATAATTCCAAGCTTCTACAAACAAAATGATCTATTGGAATGAAAAGTTAGAGGAACAAAACATCCTTAGACATCCTTAGTCAGATTAAAAACTCTGATTTAAGAGTCTCTTCCATTAGGTTTTTTCATGTTTGATGAAATTGTAACAGAAATTATTTATAAGAGTGTAATTTTATTTTGAATATATTTAAATAATGGGTTGCTTTATTAAAAGCTTGCTGAAGGTAAGATATAGGATTTGAAGTGGAACATGTACATACATAAATGCTACTTAACATATACATACATAATATTTTAAGCTGCTTGGATTATCCAAAGCAATGTGTGATATAAATTGTTATTCAGAGGGAGAAAGTTGAAAAATGCTAAATCTTTAACATACCTAATGTAGTTTTTTATCCCCCCAAATGCTAGTTGAAGTTATGGACTTAACATAAGCAATATTATTGATGGCAAAATAAGGATGTGGTGAAGCTGTCTTCAGCAGTTATTTCCCCCAAAATCTGATGACATATTGGTTAAAGAATTATTTGTTAGATTTATAATCCATGTTTTTGTTCAGTTCAACCTCAGTTTAAGATTATTGTATTTTATTTTAGCATATTAGATATGCTTGATTATAAACTCCATGTTTCAAATGAGCTAGATCCCTTTGGATGAACCTTGTTTTTAATCGTATTCTTAATGCACTACATATTTAGACTAAGATCATGACTTAATGCCAGATCAGATTATCTCCTGCATACATAACTCTGCTGAACATCTACTGAAGGTTTCTGATGGAGAAAGTAAATGCAGCAGGTTTCCTAATGTGTTTTATTAAAATTTGCCACAAGAATGAAGTGCTCAGTAGAAACATGCAAAGCATTCAAAAGTAACTTAACAAAGACAAAAATGAAGCACTTTGAGGTAGGCAAAGTCAAGAAAGAGGAGAAGCTGGGATCTCGGGAAGGTTTTGAAAGGACTTGAATATCTTGAAAGCTTATCAGGTTTCTATCTGCCACATTTGCTGTATATCAAAGAGAATCAAGACAGGTTTATTTTGAGTTTACTTCTCACACTTTCCCAGGACTGACTAATGGATCATTGCTGTCTTCCCCCCTCCTGGGTTCAGCACAAAATTCTTTTGAGGGAGTCACAGTCTCCAAAATATAGGCACAATCAAGGGCCTTTCCAATATACCCCTGTAATATGTGCAGGCATAGCTGTGCTTCACCAATAATCCCAGTGGAAGTACAGTATATGCTGTATATGCTCATTTTAAAACACCCAGATAAATTAAGAAGCAGCTGCGGCAAACTTTGAAACAGCTGCACCAATAGCAAACCCTTAAGATGTTGTGGCTACCTTAACATTTTGATGATGAACTCTTCTTCAAATGTTTTGCACAGATCTGGGACTCAGCACCTATGGAATTATAATCTTTTCCACTGAATAACTCTATAAAATAGATTAATCTGAGAGTCAATAATGAGATTTAAGGTGAACCAGGATTACTAACTTCATGGATGGAGCATTATCAAATACATTCACAGGAGAAGCAAGAAGGATGCAAAGAACAAAACTAGGCATCAAGATGTCATGTTGCAAATGGCATGACATAACTGTCAGAAATGATACAATTGCATAACTATATGTCAGTAATTTTCCCATTCTTATGGTACATATCGGTGACTGTATTCCCAAGTTAACAATATTTATTTTTATTTCTTTGATTTAAATAATTTGGTTTCTTCAAAAGAAGGTCTAGAGCAGGTATGTCAAACTTGCGATGTCACATGACATCGCATGACGTATCGGAGCTTTTTCTCCATTGCCGGCAATGGGGTGGGCACGGTTTCCTGGTGATGCATCTGGCCGGTGGGCCGGCAGTTTGACACCCCTGGTCTAGAGCATCTTAGTTAAGGTGGGATTGGATTCTAGTGATGAATTGTGTTGAAAGTTTAAAGCATAAGTTAGAGTAGAAAGAACAATGGAAGAAAAGTGATAGCTGGAAGATCACCTGATGGATAATGGACATAAAATGAAACAGATCAGATGGTACAAATCTATATAATCTTTAAATAATCAGAGTCATGTTTCACCAAGAGGAACAAGAGAGTGAACAAGAGGAGAAACATCAAGAGCTGAATATGCAGATTCTCATTTTCCATAGCAAGCATAGAAAGAATTTGTATGTCTGCAGAACTGATCAAGAGTTAAGCTCAATTCAAATGTGTGAACAACCAGTTTTCTTTGTGGATGCCACTTCTGGAAGTGCATTCTGGGCCTGGGCAACAAAAAATTAGCTACCTGTTCTGCCAAACTGGTGTGAACTGGCTGAATCCTACCACTGGATAAGCTATATTAAATTCACAAAGAGTAGCACAGCAGAGTTCCCTTAACATGCATAAGGATTTCTTTCATATATAAGTGAGAGATCTGTTTTATGGGGAAGTGCATCTTTTGTTACCTGCAAAATTCAGTTTTCTGATCCATATTACCTGCAAGACCTCTCCTCATAATGGCTTACATTTTGGGCAGATTTGCCACCAGTTTTCTAGACTCCACCTAAAATTTAAGGAAAAGGGCAATCTACAGTGCCATCTGAGAGAGACGATTCTAGGTGCTAAGTAGCCAATGACCTTTGATTAGATTGGACTGGATTTATTTCAGATGCTTTTATGCTGCTTCAGTTATATAAATATAAGTAGCTTAGTGCAAAAATATCCATCATATAATTTCTGGCAAGAGCTTTGTCACTGTGAGTCTGAGCTTAATATAGAGGGATCTGTTTTCTAGATAGATTTAAAGGCTGAGCTTTTACAAAACTAAGAATTCACTTACCATCTGCACAGAACTGAAATAAAAACTTTTGGCAATCTCTTTATAGTCAGACATTTCTGAAATATAAACAGCCTTAGACCCCCTTCTCTGGCCTTTAAGAAATAAAAATCTGGATTTGGTGTTACTACAGGTGTGTGTGTTTGTGTGTGTATGTATATGTGTTTGTAATAGGTAGAAATAGGTAGATGATAGATTTTATATATACATATACATATACATATACATACATACATACATACATATATATATATATATACACATATACATACATACATACATACATACATAAATCGATAGCGAGATAGATAGGTAGAGAGAGATAGAAAGATAGAGATAGGTAGAGAGAGAGATGATAGATAGATAATAGACAGATAGATGATAGACAGACAGAAAGACAGACAGACAGACAGATATCCCTTAGTTTATCCTTGTCTTTGCTCCTTCAGACTTTTGTTCTATTTCTATTTTTATCTGTATTTGTATTCTATTTCCTTGTAATATCCCTCCCATTTCTATATACCATATTTGCCTTCAGATTTTTATTATGTAATAATGCACACACAAACACACACACACACACACACACACACACACACACACAAACACACACAAATACACACCTTGTAATCTCACCTAGACCAAAGGTTTATTATTCTGGATACAGTGCCAGATTCACCTCTGCATGTTCTTTAGGGAAAATAACTAAACGGGTATATTTAACATCTCAATGTCTTTTAAGAGCAAGGGGAGGATAAGGATGATGACATAGAATCTTTGCATTGGTAGAAAGATAGTTTATGATAAATGACTATTAGAGCATCTTTACCATATTGAAAGAAACTGCTCATATGTGAAGATTTAAAACTGCCACATAAAGGACAGTACAGAGCATCAATAAATGATGAGGTTCAGTATACCCATTAATCTCCCATGCGCTTAGAGAATATTTCTTATGACAGTGACATACAGATGTAAAATTAACACCAAATTTGCCTGAGTTGAGCACATTCTTGCAAGGTTTTTTTAACCAACCCAAACTGAGGAGGTCAGGGACAGGAAATCTCCATATCCTAGCCACTTAGAATTTTTGAATGGGAAGTCTGGATGGCAGTGATAATCAATTCAAAAAAAAAAAAAAATAGATCTGGCTCCAGATTTCCAGAGAAAGAATATAACAGGTGGACAGGACCCGATCAAGGATTGTTGATAGATACATAAAGAAGATAGATGATAGATTAGTAGATGATAGGCAATGATGATAGATAGATAGATAGATAGATAGATAGATAGATAGATAGATAGATAGATAGATAGATAGAGACAATAGATAGATGATAGTAGATAGATAATAGATGACAGATAGATGATATTAATTCTGATAAGGAAACTGGAATCAGTGTTAGAAATGTAACAATGGAGAAATGTTGATAAATACTATCCAGAAGAAACTAAGAAAGAAACTACATCAAATTAGCATATAGTTCAAACTGGGAGGAAAAACAGAATAAAATAATAAATTTGTAATAAATGTAGAAAGAGTAAGATGATACAGAGTTAAACTCACTGGGAACAAAAAATGTTCTAAGTAAAGAGTACCATTAATTTAGAAGTAAAAAGCAAATTAAAGCACAACATAGATATGTGGAAAAAGATTATACTGCAATGTTTTAAATGGTTGGAAGCTAAAGAAAAGAAACTGAATAAAAAGGGATTAGATGAAGGACAGGAAGAAGGAGAGAAAAATATTAGTAACAAGCTTCCTCAGCAGGATGCTGACTAAGAGGCTGGCTGGCACTGTACTTGAGCCTCTTTCGGTTTCCCAGATACCTTGTGCTGTTTTTTTATTAAGTGGAATTGTTCAGGATTGCATAAAAAAAGAATGCACTGGATTATTACTGGGTTTACAATGCGATCTAGGGTCAGCCAGCAATGTGATTGCAAAAAAAAAAAAAAGAAAAGAAAAAAGAAAGAAAGAAAGAAAGAAAGAAAGAAAGAAAGAAAGAAAGAAAGAAAAGAAAATAGAACGTAAAGTGGAGGCCAACCTCCTCTTTCAAATTTGTTTTTCTTAAAAATAGAAACAATTTCCTGTCGGTAGCTGCACAAGAATACATATTTATGCTAATAAGTTAAAAAATAAAGATTTGTCACACTTTAGAATGCCATAGCTGCGATATATATATGGCAAAATCTGGACTTTGAAGACCTTTCTTGAAGAAAAGACCAGGAATGGAAGAAGAAGAGAATGAAAAATGTGCTGGTGAGGAGGCAAGACTCATCAGTCATGGTTTATTATTTTAATTGATTTTTATTGAACAAATAAACAGCAAATACACAAGGCTGAAAGACTTTTCCCAATATTA